TATATATATATATATATATATATATACATACATACACATATATACATACATACACACCCATCTTGCACAAGTGACTCTGAATGAAAACAGAAATTAAAAAAAACATAAATTTAATCATAAAATAGAAAATAAAAATAAATAAAGCATGATGGCCAAGCCCATCAACAATAACAATAACTCATAGTTCACGAAATTCCTGACCCCTATGTCTGGAAGAAGAGCCAGGTCTTGGAGACCTTATGAGAGCCAGCAGTATCAGAACTGACCTAATCTCAGGGAAAAGGTTCCAAAGGTAGCCACTGCAACAGAAAAGGCATGTTTTCGGAGTTCAACCAGATCCTTAATAAGTGGAACCTGGACATGCCCTTCCCACCGGACCTGTTGGTGTGGGTAAACCTGTATCATCTCTGTTTACCTATATGCATACATTGAACAGTAGTGATCCAGTTTTGCTTTGTATATCTGGTTTTATTCTTTGGAGATCTTAAGATACAGATTGCACCACCACAGCTCTTATATATGAAATGCTGCATTTAGCTGAAAAAGCTTTAATTTTCAGATTTTCCATAGTAATAGCAACATATCTACTGCATTGTAGTTTGTGCTTAACCATTGTAAAACAAATTGATTTTAAAATGGAGATAGAATGAATAGGAGAGATATCTAAACATTTAAACCTTATAATTCATTTTGGAGAAAAAAAGAATTAAGGCAAGAGAGGTGTTCAGCATCTCTTCCCCTTGGTTTTTTCCCTCCCTTTGCCACCTGCTGCTCTCTTTTTGCCTTCCTTCCCCGTTTTGTTACAAACCTCCTTTATTTGGTTCAGTATCAAACAGCTTTTTCCTCAGTAGAGGTCAAATTATAACAAATATTTTCAATTCCATATTATGGTATTCCACTGTAAGTAATCTCATGTAACCCAAGTTTCTTCTGAGAAATTGAGCTTTTTTAGTTGTCCTTGCTTATATAAATCATTGGTGTTTATATTATTTTCTGATTACAACAATTGTTCCTTCCACCGATGCAAAGATGAAAGAACAAATATGATACTTGTTTTGTAAAATTGAACTTTTATTCAAAGATTTATTTGAAGCCTGGTCAACAAAAACAAGTCTCTAGACAACTGTTCTGTTGAGCCCTCTATCTTATGGAGACGTTTTATGTTTTGGGTTTGATTCATTACCATCCTGGGTTGTTTGAGAATGTAGAAAATGCTGAATCATTTATTGTTTCCTGCTTTTTAGGCACTCCACCAGTTATATTATGACCCCAACATTGAAAACAAGAACCTGGCTCAGAAATGGCTGATGCAAGCTCAAGTATCCCCACAAGCTTGGCACTTCAGTTGGTTGCTTCTTGATATGGACAAGGTGCCGGAGATCCAATACTTTGGGGCCAGTGCACTCCACATTAAGATTTCACGCTACTGGAATGACATCCCCACTGACCAGTATGAGAGCCTTAAATCACAGCTCTTCAGTCACATAACTCATTTTGCTAGTGGTTCCAAAATTGTGCTGACCCGCCTTTGTGTGGCATTGGCTTCATTAGCACTGAACATGATGCCAGAGGCTTGGCCATGTGCTATTGCTGACATGGTACGCATGTTTCAGGCAGAGGACTCTAATGTAGATGGGCGAGCACGCTGCCTTGCACTACTGGAACTTCTGACAGTGCTGCCTGAGGAATTCCAAACCAGTCGTCTGCCTCAATACCGTAAGGGGCAGGTACGTAGTGTCTTGTCACAGGAGTGCACATCTGTGTTCCCTCTGCTAGAACAATTGTTGCAACAGCAAGATTCTCCTGGTTTCATTAAGCAGAAGGTGCTGAAGTGTTTCTCCAGTTGGGTGCAACTAGAGATTTCTTTGATGGAATGTGAGAACTTAATCCAAGCATCTTTCACTTCTCTGCTTGATCCAGAACTCTTCGACATTGCTGTGGAGGCTATTGTCAATGCCATTTCCCAGCCTGATGCTCAGAGGTAAGTATAGTTTCACATTATGAGCCAGTTATGGTTTTAAACATTTACAACCTTAGATATAAACTATTTATTTCCATACGCAGAGGTCTGGTCTGATATTATATTAATAGAACTTTCTTTAGCCATCTTGATTTCATTGCAAGAGTGTGTATACATTCTTGTAGCGTTCTTGGACAAAGAATGCAAGTGAGTGAATCCAATACATTAAGTTTACAAATGTTCTTGAAAGCGAAATCTTGGTAAGAATGATTCAGTTTGTCTTCACTTAGGTTCACTATTGTCCATAATTTAGTAGTCCACTTAGGAAGATATATAAATTATATTAATAGAGAAATTGAGAATTACGTCCATTGCAGAAAATGGACATGGTTAATGAGATTTCATCTGTTGTGATTATACTTGTGGTTTTATGAGAAAATATAATATGCAATTGGGAACATTGAAAGATGTAATTAGCAGGCGAGACTTTTGTGTATGGATGCTCCTTAACTTACAATCATAATTGATTCCGAAATTATGATCGCAGGTCATTGTGTCTTAAGTCGAGATATTATATGACAGGATTCAAAATGATGACAGTTTTTAGAAGGGTCCTTAAGCGAATGCCATGGTCATTAAGCAAGCCAGCAGTGGTTAAATCCAGAAACAGGGAAAACTGCACAAGTCACAGGCAAGTGAACATGGGCCACTGCAAATGGCTATAAAGGTGAATCTGTTGCCAAGCTCCTAAAATGTGATCATGTGACCATAGAGAGGGTTTAAGTGTGTGCACGCAGTTGTTGTAGCCCCCAAAACAGGTAGTAGATAGCTCTGTGAAGGTCCATTATAACTTCGAATGGTGTTAAAGCAACTGTTGTAAGGACTACTTGTATATTGTTCTTCCTGTCTTTTCACTTTTCCCCCTTTCCCCTGTCCCATGTTTCTTCACAATAGATATAAAGTATTTGAGTAGAAACCTTGATCAAGATATGTTCTTGAAGACACTGATGCTGTGATTCCTCAGTGGATTTAACTATCATTGATGACAGATATTTTACATTTTGATATACATAGTATATTCAACCTAGAGAGGAAAATTATAGGGAACATAATATTAGTTCCCTATATACCGTATTTTTTGGCGTATAAGACGCACCAAGATTTTGAAGAGGCAAATTAAAAAAAAAAAAAACATTTTTGCACTCTGCAGACCTCCCAAAAACGGCCTGTTTTTAATGAAAATGCCCCCCCTTTTTTTTTTTCAAAAAAAGGGCATGCATAACCTTTAGGAGACTTGTAGAGTGCTCCTGGTTGGGGGGGGGGGCAAAAACAAGCAAAAAATGGCCCATTTTATGTAAAAATGGGTCTGTTTTTTGTAAAAAAAAAAGGGGGGGGCATGCATAGCCTTTGGGCGGCTTGTAGAGAGTTCCTGGGGGAGTGGGGGGAGGCAAAAATGAGCAAAAAACAGCCTGTTTTTTGCAAAAATGGGCCCTTTTTTGTAAAACAAAGGGCATTTGGAAGCTTATAGAGTGCTCCTGGGTGCTGGGGGGGGCAAAATTGAGCAACCCCCCCATATTTTGCTCGTTTCTGCTCTCCCCAGCCCCCAGGAGCACTCTGAAAGTCTCCTAAAGGCTATGCGCGGCCATTTTGGTGAAGGGGCGGGGTTTCAGGAGGCAAAAGTGCTGTATTCAGTGTATAAGATGCACTCAGATTTTCAGCCTCTTTTTTGAGGGGAAAAAGTGTGTCTTATACTCTGAAAAATACGGTATGTATCTGAAAGGTGGCAGCGTACATCTCTACTTACCGTTTAAAAGGAATGTTGGACTCCAGTTGCCAAAGTTAGTTGGACTTGAAGAAGTATTGTATCTCAAAAGTGTAATACTGCAAAACTATGGAAGCTTGCTAAACAAAAATGGGTTATAAAATAATTTAACTACTGAAAAATCCACATAGGATATCACCTGTTTAAAAATAGAAAACGTGCTCCCCCCTCCAGGATGTGGGGGTAGTGGAAGTCATGTAAAATCTCATCATGTGGCTATGAAATAATACAACATAATTCTATTTCTCTCTTCCTTTTTGAAAACTTAAGAGAAGGTAAACTGTATATACTGTTCTGTTAGATTAATTAATAAAGATGTATGGAAGAAATGATCCAGGATTGCTTAGCTCTTTATTCTTTCTGATTTATGTTAAATTGGATTTCCATTGATTGGAAAAATGTTCTAGTTCAGTTATCTTCTCTGTGTATTAGTTAGTCTTTTCCAGTATTTTTAAAGTGTACTTTTACATTTCTATTTTTGCACATACTAATGCAGAATGGTTTCATTTGAATTGTTTTTAGCCATACCTATAATCCTGTTCTTTTCTAACCCTTTTAAACCCATACTTTTATGTTACTCCTAGCTTTTAAATTCCAATTACCTGATTTTTTTAGCCTGTGGGCTTGTTTCACACCAAAATGTGATACTCTACTAAATGATCAATATAAAACAAGATGGAGATGGGCCCAGATTTTTGAAAGCTGTTAAAACAAACTAGTGGAGGTATTTGGCTTATTTTTTTTTGTGCAGAGTCCATTATTATGGACAATAAGAGGGAATAGAAAGCTTTTAATTTGTTCAGGGCTATAAGCATAGCAAAGGTATGGTCTTCCACCTGTAACTGTGGACTCTATATGAGGAAGTCAGGTAGGTGGGCAAGTTCAGAATAAGCATATCTCTTCATAGTCTGCCTCAGCAGCCAGGAAACTGAAAACTGGCTGATTAGCCATCAGCATAGCATCTCTCTCGTCTCCCATGAGGCCATCCCTTGCCCTTCCTCTCCATTTCCTCCATGCTTGTTGTCATAGTTACAATCACTTATTGGCAGCAATAGGAAGATTGACAGGCAAGAAATTACTTGTATAGTTTTGGAATGCTGCAGTGCACTGTGAAATACTAGCTATCTGGATGCCTCAGAAAAGTATTGTGTGAACCTTTACTTTTGATTTGAGGAAATGAATATTCAAAGATTGTAACTCTTTCAAATTCTCATCCCATCAACAGATTCTGTTTAAACAATGAATATCATACATCTTCAAATATTTATTCAATTTCACCCATAACAGATTAAAATGTGGGGTCTGAAGAAAAGCAGAATTATACCAAAGTTGTAAGCTTTCTTCTGAAGCTTGACTCAACTTCTTTCCGGCATAACAGACCTATTTTAAAATAAAATCATACCTTTTGTAAAGTCTGTTGCTTGAAGTAATTAAATATATGAATAAAGCCAGCAAATTCCAGAAAGGTAATTGCATTTAAGCTGTTGCAGCAAAATTAAAATATTACAAATTACTGTGTCAAATACAGTTTGTTCCAATTTATGCACATCAGGCCTTAGGTACACTGTCACTTTAAAGACATGGCTGCTGCTTTGAGTCTGATGTATGGGAGTACAAATGTGATGCCAAGTGATTTTGGAAATGGTAAATTCTATATTGTCCTTGAAGGTGATGTTGGGTAGTTTAAAAGCTTGATTGAAAAAAAACTCTTGCAGTGAAATTATTAAGATATTGGGCCAGCATCAGGAAGTCTCAAATCACTTTCAGCCATGGAAGTTTATTGTATGATTGGGCCACTCATTCACTTTCAGCCCAACCTCTTTCAGAGGATTGTTGTGGGGAAGGGGGGACACGAGAGTATTCTGTCCTTGAGTTTCTGAACAAAAGGCAGGCTATACATCTAATCAATAATAAAAAAGCAATAATATTGACATTTTGGGAGAACAATGATCATAGAAAAAGAAATACTAGTTTAACAGTCTGGTTCCTTGGTTAGTGTCTTTGAGGACAGGCCAGATGTCTACATAAGTCAGAGATCACATTCCTGGGTGTGAAGTGGGCAGCTAGGTATGCTTGAGTTGAAAATGTATCATCATAAGGCAAATCTTCTTTGATTAGTGGGTCCAGGTGTGGCCCAATTCTGAATCACTGTCCCACTTTAGTAATGAGGACTCAGAGAAAAACCTCTGAAGTTTACAATATTTTCAATGGTCCTTAAGCATTTTGATCCAGAGTTATTTTACCATGTTTTTTAAATCTCTATTGGACAATATAGGATTTGTTTGCTTAATATCTTGCCTTTATTACTTTATAAATAATAAGCAGCAAGCACACATAATTTTATTTATTTATTTGTATTTCACCTTTACAGGTAGTCCTCGACTTACAATAGTTCATTTAGTGACCGTTCCAACTTACAGTGGCACAGAAAAAGTGATTTCACACTTATGACTGTTGTAGCATCGCCAGTATCATTTGATTAAAATTCAGACGTTTGGCAAGTGACTCATTTATGACAGTTGCAGTGTCCTGGGGTCATGTGGTCACCTTTTGCAACCTTCTGACAAGCCAAAGTCAATGGAGAAGCCAGATTCACTTAACAACTGTATTACCAACTTAACAACTGTTGTGATTCACTTAGCGATGGTAGCAAGAAAGGTCATAACATGAGGCAAAATTCACTTAACAAATGTCTCACTTAGCAACAGAAATCTTGGACTCCATTGTGTTCATAAGACAAGGACTACCTGTATTATTTGTATAAATAAGGTGGTGACCATATCCAGCACACCCTCCTCCTCCTATTTTCCTCAGAACGATAATTCTGTGAGGTGGGTTGGGCTGGGAAAGAGTGACCGATCCAAGGTCACCCAGCTGACTTTTACACATAAGGCAGGACTACAACTCAGTCTCCTGGTTTCTAGGCCAGCATCTTAACCATTACATCTAATTCATCATTCTTCAGATGAAAGACCAGTTGCTTTCAGTTTGCATGATCAAACTTTGTTAAATTATAATTATGAAGATGAAGTGTTTTAAATATTTTTCTCGCATATATTGATTTTATTGATTTGAAATAGAAAATCTCCTCCTGCATTGCAGAACCCATCTTAATTCATAGCTATCTGATTTAGATGGGCTAAAAATGTTTCTATGGTGTTGTATAACTTGAGCCCTTAACATCCAATAACAGTTTAAATGTAGTTTTGGGTGATTTTCCAAAAATTATACTGAGCACCAACATCTGTTTAACATGCTTGAAGGGGAAAATATAGAAAAATGTGGAAAGTAAGCATATTAACTGCATTTAAATTATTAAATAGAATTTTCATTCATCATACAGAAAAACTAATGTATTTCTGCCCTGTAGCCCTAGGAAGTTAATGCAAGGCTAAATACAGTTTTTGTTCCAAAAATTTACAAACACTTGGTTTCAAGAAATAAAATTAATTGATGTTCAAAAATCTCAGCAGCTAGTAATACCTAGCTGTCTGTGTCTGGAAGCTGACAAACATAAGTCTTGACTAATATTTGGGTGGAAGACATTGAGGGAGTGCCAGAGCTATAGGCTAGACTGCAGTTAGAAAAATATATAAGACAATGGCAAATTGTTTCTATATTGCTGCCAGGAAAACATCACCAACATGCCCTGGATGCCATCAGGAGTCAAGAATGACTGGAAGGAGACTTCATTTTAATGTTGTAAAGGTTTATTAGGTGCTCTTAGGAATGATAGATAGATAGATAGATAGATAGATAGATAGATAGATAGATAGATAGATAGATAGATAGATAGATAGATAGATAGATAGATAGCTACAACTTCAAGGCAATATAATTCTGAGTAGCAGTTATAAGAAAGTTGGATTCATTCATTGACGGCATTGTTGCATTTATCCTCTAACACTTAAAAATTCTGAAGAATCCAGATGAATACAAAGGGAAAAATGGGGGTGGGCAGGTAGGGGGAACTAAATACTTTTGTCATCTACCAGGGGCTGTAATACTTTCCTAAAGACGGGAGAATTGATAGGGGATGTAGAGGTCAACATTTTTATCTTCTCTCTTTCCTAACAGGTATGTGAATACTCTTCTGAAGCTCATTCCACCGGTACTAGGACTCCAGGAACAGCTACGTCAAGCAGTTCAAAATAGGGATATGGAAACTTCTCATGGGATTTGTCGTATTGCTGTAGCCTTAGGGGAAAATCATTCTCGGTGAGAAGCATTAAGCCTTGTGTTGGTATTAAATAGCAGTGATTGCTAGAATGTGGCTAAAGCCATTCTGGGTTCTCTATTCCTCACAAATAGCTTGCAATCTTTCAAATTCCATTTAAAGATCTAGAAGATTATTTAGGTGCTAATTTACAACCTTTGTTTTGTGAGAACTCTACAGAATCTTAGATCTGTTTCCCTGAAAATAAGCCCTTCCCACAGTTGGGCTTTTGAGCATATATGCTAAAATAAGCCCTCCCTGAAAATAAGCCCTCCCCGAAAATATTGCAACACAGCAGCAGCCATGAGGTGATCACACTCACCGCCTCCTGCACCTCAAAAATAATAAGACCTCCCCGAAAATAAGGCCAAGCGCTTTATTTTGGGGGTCAAAAGAAAATAAGACCCTGTCTTATTTTCAGGGGAAACACAGTATGTGCATGGAAATTATTCAAGTTCTCAAAGAGTTCCAGCTGATGGGATTCTATGGGCATTTGTTTCAAGAATTATTGAATCCTATTCCATATGTGTTATCTTAAGTTCTGTATTTTATTAGACCACCCGGGATCCATTGGATCATCATTTCAAAGATATTTTCTTCTGCAGAGAAACAAAATGATCATGGGCAGGCAAAAAACAGTGGGAGTGACCTCCAACTTTCTGCAAACTTCCCTTCTGAGAAGCTGGCAGAGAGTGGTGGAAATGATGATCACTTGACTGCAGCAGCATGGCCACAAAACTTTGCCAAATTTCAATCCCACAGGAATAATGAGTCCCAGATTTTGGACTCATTGTTTGAGTGAGCTCATTTGAGATACATTGATTCAAAAGTTGTTGCTCTTTGACATTTTCATCCAACTGAAGGTTACAAACAGGAGTTTTAGTAGTATATATATTTGTATAATATAGCGGGTTCCTGATTCTGCATTCCTTCCATAGAGCACTTCTGGACCAGGTAGATCATTGGCAGAGTTTTCTGGCACTGGTCAACATGATAATGTTCTGCACCGGAATCCCAGGACACTATCCTGTGAATGAGACCACAAGCTCACTTACACTCACTTTCTGGTATACATTGCAGGTAAGAGTTCTCTTCCTGAAGCAGATTTCTTCAGTGGTATTTTATTAGCTTGATACGATTTATTTATAAGAGCCACGGTGGTGCAATGGTTAGAATGCATTATTGCAGGCTAATTCAACTGACTGCCAGGAGTTCGATTCTGACCAGCTCAAGGTTGATTCAACCTTTCATCCTTCCGTGGTCGGTAAAATGAGGACCCAGATTATTGGGGGCAATATGCTGACTCTGTAAACCGAGTGGATGGTAAATCCCTGTAAATCCAATAAGTGCTATTGCTATCCTCTAGTTTAGTGGTTTATGTATGCATATTCTACTTGTTCTGTAGTTGTAGTAGAAGCACACATTATATAGTTGTATTGATAACAACTCTGGACCGAGTAGTATGTAGTATGTAAATCAGCAGATGGTCAGATTTCAATCAGTCAAAAGTCCTTCTTTGTGATCAATACTTTGCTTATTAAAGTTTATTGGGTAGTAGAATCTTGTCACAGCTTCTTTCCGCCTATGTTTTATTGTATGTCATTGGATTTGAATAGCCATCCTGTGTTTAAGTAGGATGCCTTCTCTATATAGCATGGCAGAGTAGGTTGGCACTCCTGCAGTGCTCAAGAACAAGGCTATTTGTTGAACTGCTGCATTTCTAAGTGCCAGCTTGAAATAAGAGGAAGTCATACGTTGCCTCAGTATGTGACTGGTGCAGTACATCAGCCCACAGACACATTATTAATGAAGGGTGCTGAACTAGAGCAGCATCTTCTATAGTCTATGGGAGAAGGGGGGGGAATTTTCTGCTATGTCTACTGTACTTCACAGCAAAATGCTTACTTTAGTTCTCACAGTATCTTTGACTTTTCATGGGCTATTTTGTGATAGAGAGCATGACTTCATTATGAGAACTAATTTATTCCTTACTTGGACAAAAATAAGAACAAGATGGAGATAATTGAAAATGTGAACAGGCAAACTTGGTCTGTGATAGCTTCCATTTTTGCCTAATTGCTGGGAGATGATACTGCTTATTTGGTGGATTGACAGAGTATAATATAAAGTTATTCCTTTACTTTAATGTTCTGATGTTAAAACAAAGACAATTGGCAGTCCATTCTGGAGATCTCAGAAAAACTCAGTTGCAAACGTATGTCTAAAACACATCTGTAGCCCTACATCTGTATCTTTTTCCCCATTAAAACAACAGCAGCCTCTTGTCATTGTGATGCAACTAGAACCTAGGAAAAGTGTTAAATGCCAGGAATGGAATTTGGGGTGCCCAAGTCAATATTGGGCAGAACAGCTGACAGATTTGGGGAAAGTGGTATGATACTGAATTGTGAGTTCTAGCCATCCCATCAGAAAGTGATGATAGCCGTAATGTCTTAAGACCATACCTAACTTTTAGGATAGTTGTGTCACACAGCTTTTTCTTGCAATTGAACAATTATCTTTTTGTTTGCAGGATGACATTCTCTCTTTTGATCCAGAAAAACAGGCTATGTATCAGCAAGTGTATCGACCTGTATATTTTCAGTTAGTGGATGTACTCCTACATAAAGCTCAGTTCCCCTCTGATGAAGAATACAGTTGCTGGTCCTCTGATGAAAAGGAGCAATTTCGTATATATCGGTATGGCTTTTTGCTTGGCGGTGTCTTTTAATATATGAAATGTATGGTGTTCTCACTTAAGGTTCCCAAGGGCATGAAGCAAACTCCTTGACCCAACAAAAACCCCTTTTATTAATTTACTCTGAATTCTGCTCATTCACATCCAACAAAGTCTTTCAAGGGAGAATTTACAGTCATAGACTTTATCTGGTTTGAAGAGCTGCAAAGCCAATATCTGCAAAACTTGGCAAGGAGTCTTGGAGAGTCATAAACCAATTAAGTGAACTAATTGT